TGAATTGAATGTAAATCCATGTACTATTGTGTTTCTTCTTATCACTTTGACTTTTGTACGTTGATGTCATAAAATGAGAACAAATCACTTCTATTTTTAATAATTTAATGTTAACAAATATTATTTTTATTGAGATATATCAGTTCAAGGATAGATTGTTTATTTTAGTTAGTGATTTTTAGGCAGATGGGGTTGCTGACCCCATGCCCAACTCTCCTTTGCCCGGGCATGGGACCGACGGTAACCCTAGAAGAGCTATAGGTGGAGTTATTCCAAGGATATTAAAGTGATTTATTCGTTAAAGGTTTTCAAGATATGTACTGAACTTACTATTTGATGAACAACTTCGTTTCACTACATTGTTTTGGTTTATTAGTAATTTGAGAAATGATTAGATAAGTCACAATTGGTTATATCAATCCAAAAAAGTTATTAATTGCTATTTTAGACGATGGTGGTAGCTATGAATCAGCTATAATTGTTATTTATTAACTTCAAGTGTTACAATTGAAAAAAATTGTTTTTCTAATTGTGGTCCTAATGTATATGAACTTCATCGCCATTCTCTCACGTAAAACGATCAAGTCAGTTATTTGTAGGTAAAGTGAAATTGTACGAATGTATCCAATTCAGTCAGTCGCAAAGTGGAACCTGGTATGTATGTATATCGGCTTAAGTTGCCATACCCCATTTGTACTGTGAGATGAAATTATTAGTCCAAATCCCAGAGTTGTAAAAGTAGTAACGGTATTCGTGATAATAACAGTAAAGATTAGGGATCGAAAATATGATTCAAGAAAACATAAATTCATAAGAAAATGTTATGGGGAATTCAGAAACTAAGAATTTGAAGGAAGATAAAGAATAGATGTACATTTGCCATTGCAAACGGTTTTCAGCCATGTCACTCAAGGTTACGATAATCATGGGGACAACGTGGTTCAGATAAACTGTCAATGAATTCGTGGATTGGTGATATTTCGGTTTGGCTGCTGGTAGCTTCCAACCCATTCCTATACCATACAACATCTAGGTATGGCTCACTCTATGGTCCCAAAATACTCGATCAATGCTTCGAAGACACCTATGGTCGAGTACCAGTAACCCACATGTATCCTCTATCCTTAATGGTTATACTTCACAGTTATAATGTAGAACGGGACGAACTGCTGCGCCGTGAACTCGTCCTTTGTTTGGCAGATGGATATCTCGCCTAAGCAACAAGTTGACAAAAGTCAATCCAGCCCTCTAAAATCGTGCCAAGGTTTCGTTAGACACCAGATCATCAGGTGAAGCGTCCAACTACTTGACTCCTTATCATTAATTCAGGCGCTGATACAAGTCAATCTTTAAGCATTATTTTACTTTTGGAGAGAGAGAATACCATCCCAAATATGTTTGCATTGTTGTTTAAATTGGTTAAATTATATGTTGGTATGATTTCTATCAGTTTTTATTTCTGAGTTGGTGAGTTTAAGGTCACAGTGTCCTTTTAACGATTATATTTTTTTACAATGATTTAACCTTGAATATTGTATTCCTGTTAGTTCTAAGAGAAATTTGTTTGGGTTTGTTTATGTGTGTGCAATTATATGTCTATCTATCTAAATGTCCTTTATATGACCTAGTCGATAATAAATAGACTTAGAATGGGTTTATAGAGAATGATATTTTGCTTGTTTAATTGGTTGTAGAGATAGGAAACAAGAAATAATAATTTAGTGGATTTAATCACCATGTCGAATAAACATGGATAAAACTCAATGAGGAACTATTACTGAATTTTAAATTTAAATAGAACCCTTGAAATCAAACTTTTATTCGATTTTTGTGTCCCATTTTATCTTCGATATTCTATCTTATCATCAGATCCTAGTAGAAATTTATTGAATCATTTAGTTATCTGAATAACTTCCACATAAATTATTGTTATTTATTATATATAACGAGTTAAAATTCTTGTGATGATGTTAGTAGTTGGAATATAAGGTTTCATATAATAAATTGTACGGAACTGTGACTCAAAAATTATCCAGTTTAAGTTTTAATGATTGACTTATTAACAACTCAAACTTTGCTACTTATATGTCCATCTTAATAACTATATATCTTCATTATACCTAGAATAGTAAATGTACACTGACTTGGATTTGATTACTAAACGGTGGTGTCTAGTGGTGAAACTGTTCATCTCGCAATCACTAAGCCATATGTTCGAAACCCACACCATATTGTGTCAGCATCAGAAGCCGACTAATGTCATTGGTTCTCACATATAAAGTATTCCCAGAAATCTGAGTACATAAATCAGTACTTGATAAATAAGTAGTTGCCTTTTCCTTATTGAGTAAAATCAAAATATTTATTTACTTTGATTCTGTTGAACTATCGATTCAGTATTATGAAATTGTTTCTAAGCCAAATGAATGAGCTTATTCTACGTTATCAATTTACCATACCTTTTGATGGAACTTTATCACTTCAATGATTATATTACATTATTTTAAAAAATGTACGATATTTATGGAAAACAGAAAAAATAATATGATTTCATTGTTTTAGTTATAACTTGAAATCTCTAATTGGTATCATGTGTTAAAGTTACTAATTAGAATTCCGATCATAATTTTTTCTGTCTTATACTTGACCAATTGCACTTCTGATCTGCATCGTCAACCATGATGTGACGCAACATGAATTTCTATCAGTCCTCTTTACTCAAATCTTTCCCCATTCTTTGTCTTGAGTCCTAAGACAAGTCATTAGCCAACTTTGATTTCATTGTAACTCAAAACGCATACAATAATATGCTTGAAATCGCTGAATACAACACACCAAATAGGAAATCATACTCTAAGCACAACCATCCCCTAAGTAGAGGAGAGCAGAGTAGGCAGTACATAATTAGCAATAAGTGAATAGTAAGACACATAACGCAACAGTTGCCCCCAAATGCCCTGGTACGTCCGAGAGTGGGGAGAGTCCGCTCTCCCTCTCGAAATGCTCTCACATGGCCACGCGTATATAGCCTCTGCCAGGGAAGTCCTACTCACTGCCTTCTCGTGGCGGGGGTGTTGTTTACTAAAATGAGAGGACAAAAAGCGAATGTCCGGCGCTTTAACCGGATTCCAAACCAATGGTGCACATGGGCTCCAGTATCCTGAGGGAACAAATGGCGTACGAACCAATTGTTGGTCACCGGCTTCCATGGGACTGCATCTCCTTACGATGCTTCACTGCCTTGTGGATCAGACCCTCAGGTCGAAGGCTCAGGGAGTGGCCCCCTAAGAAAACCACCTGCTTCGGTTTGGGCACCCGGGCAGTATCACAGCCCTCACACATATCGAATGGGATTTGTCTGGCGCATATGTATTTGGTGCCTCCTTGTACCAATATCTATGTGTTAAAATAAATAAATAAACGCAACAGTTAGTAGGTTCACTGCGAGCCTACAATAAGGGTATTATAGAAATGCTAAAAAAGCGGTTATCTACTAATTACCTAATGAAAGTCTAAATAACAATCCAAAAAATTGTTTCAAGATTTCCATCTTTTCTAACGTTTAACTTCTTATTAACAACACTGATTCTTCAATTCAAGTCACTATATATATATATATATATATATATATATATATATATATATATAGTGGAGATAATGGCCCACAAGGAAAACAATTTTTCACGATACTTTAAAAAATAATTAGTATAATTTGATTGTCGTTGCTTCTAGCACGATATAAGAAATATCTGCATTGATGTTACTGCTAGTAATTTTGTAGTAAATAAATCTAAGCTGTTAGCTATCGAATTAAATTGTCTTACCAACTGAAACTTAAGCTTCTTTATACAGTTAAAACCAGTTATAGGACATTTGGTAGTTTAATTTTATATTGTCAAAGTGTTGTTAGCTTGTAATTCACTTTAGTCAAGATTACTTAATCTGCCTGATAATTCACACCCTAATCGTATTGATCCTTGTATGTGGTTTTCATGGATAACTTACACGCATTACTATTAATTTGATTAGTTCCAGTGTAAATGAGAGAATGATTCTTAAAAGGTGTAGATATTGGCGTTTTATTTAAATTTTTATAATTTTTACATTCCATACAAGAATTAATTAGACCTAATTCAAATTAATCTAATTTTCATTGAAGCTATAGTGATTTAGTATTTTATAATGATATTAATATTGTAATAACTATTTTAAATATAATTCGTTGTTATTCACATTATCAAATATTGTTGACTGAATTGATTTGTATTGTTCTTTCATACGTTATTGATATCAGTGTACTTGTTTATGGAACGCGTGAAATATCGTATCAATAGAGTAAAATGTATAAACTGTGAATATAGTTAAATTGAAATATGAAAGTGATACATAAAGTAAATGGTAATTAAGAAGATGAGGGATATAAACAACTTTTGTTGATATTCTCAACTAAATTTTTGATCAGTATTAGTTTGTATTATATATTCATTCTGTAAGGAGAATATCGGTAAGTTGGGATATTTTAAACCACTTACAAATTAAATTTAACTCATATCTATTGAAAAAATGCCATTGATTATGTGGACTCAATTGTTCACAGATAAACGTGTTGGGATTTTTGAAACTCAAGGTACACTGATACTAAATTCCAATGTGGATATCGATACTAGGATCCAGGTACATTCAGCTTACGAGTCTTAAGTAGAATGAAATATCTGGATTCCAATGTTGCTAGCTACAATCTATCTACTTTATATAACCTTTGTAGTAATATAAATAATCAAGTATATTAAATTAGGACCATTTTTATAGAAATGAATGAAATTGGAAAGGGAAAGGAGAAGAGAAAGAACAAGTAAGTAAAAATAAGATTTATGGACAAAAGTTATGGTAAGCAAAGGCGAGGGTATATCTAACTAAATACTTTCTTTGTTAATTTATACACTGATGTTAACAAGTGAGTTTGATCCGACTTTTTGTTGTTGTTTGGTTTTATTCTATAGGAAAATCTACTCTTGCAGCCACGTTACGATGTTCCAGGATCAGATATATCAACTGTAGTTCTTACTGAGGGTGCTGTACTTGGTCATTCCCCACCAGAATATCATAGAGTTGTATCTCCTGTTTCGTCGGTCGTTTCATGATTTGTTTCGCCATCCCACTCTTATAATAATAATAGCTATTGTTTATGGATGTGTATTCCAAAGCACATATACCACAGACACAAATATCTATTCTTTTATTCAGATTTTGTTATGAGTAAAATACCGTTATTATTATTATCTCCTGTCTAAACAGTCAGTGATTGACGATCGTAATGATGATCAGCTTGGATTATAGGAGAATGATTTGTATGATTGACAGAAGATAATTCAGTTCAGTTATGTTTACTTTCATTTATCGTGCTCAGATTTATTTTTTATCCTTCTTGGTGTTTTTTTTTGTCTATGCTGGCTAATTTCTCACGTGAACACATTTCAATAAATACATTAGTATATTCTATATTCTCAATTTATTTATTTCACTCTAGTTAAATTAATTCTGTACATTTCAAGAAGTTTGTGTCGGCAACCATTACTTATTAATAGTGTTCAGTTTTTTTTTGCATTCTAATGTATACATATGTTTGGATTTGTGCCTACTATTCAAAGCAATATTAGTTTTTGTTGGTCTATTTCAAATCATTTCTAATACGATGTCAGTTTGTGATGTTACTGTCTTTTTCTACGATAGTTATTGATCTATTTCATGATGAAGGCTAATACAATACAATCCATTGGAATAAGGAGGATGTAAAAAAAATTGTATGAATTCAGTACTTAATAGACAAATTGTTTGTTCCAATTTATTGTTATCATTATTATTTCAATTTGATCCCATTTATCTTGTTATCCCATGAAAAATTATTTATATCTAGTAAAATACATTTGTTAGATGGTTATTGTTGTTGTCTTCGTTATAACTTTTGTCTTGTTCAACCTCGATCGTTGTTGCATTATACGCTAAACTTGATTGGTAACATTTTGAGAGACTATAATCTGTTCTGCATGAGATATCATAGTTTATACAGCTTTTTTATTGTGTAATTCTGTACATAATCGATGATTTTATTGAAGTTTCGGTACTAAGTAGTCGGGATTGCTTGAGGTAATAGTTAAATAAACTCTTCTGATCGGAAGATTTATTACATCTAAAGACCATTACTTTTAAATTAAACAAGTCTTTGTCTATATGGATAGTTTGTTTGGACAATGTTATTTAAGTGGCAGCATATTAAACTCTTTAATAAATTCGTTTAATCAGTGTAGAATGTAACATGTAGATTGTGAAATACATAGACTTTGGTGTCTCAGATATTCAATATGATAACTGAATAGTGTTCCCACTAAACTACTATCCAAATGTATGTGGTGAGCAGCCATTATATTAATATACTAACCAAAATACTCTTGTAATGTTCAACTAAATCTTAGAGTCTATTTATCTAGGTGTTGCCGAACACATTCTTGGCAGAAGACAGTTTAATTCTTATAACGTCAATATAGAGTCTTTTTTTAATAAAAAACTCCATTATTACTGAATCTTCTACTTCACTTATTTAGGCTAGTTATTTGCAAATATATACTTGCTAAGGTGGTCGCTAGAATAGTCAAATTATATTAGAAAGGCTAAGATTTCTAGAACGATAACCGCTGGCATATACTTTCTGCCATTTTGATTTTCCGCACGATCTTTGCCCTCTGATTGGCTGTCATGTTCCGCTACTACAGTAACAACTCTTGTACCAGTTTCATTTGAGTTGCTTGTTCTACCACAAATATCAAGTTGCCTGCAATTCCATCTTCTTCCTGTCTTAGCCGTTGAGGTTTGGTTTATCGAGTATAATTTACTGTTGTCAGTTCTGAGGAGAACTGACCGTATTAGAATAGCTCAATCGGTGAGACTATAATTTATGGTCGAATCAATCAGGTTTAGGATAACAGGTCTTGGATTTTGGCGCGAAATTCATCCAACCATTTGGTTAAAGATTATTTTGGGATTTCAGCAGATGTCAGTTTGTAATGAAAACTAAATTTAATTCCTAACCCTAACTATCAACTGTAAGTCACATTCCTTATTCTTCACACAGGTTTATAACTCCCATGTAGCCCTAACAAGTAGGTGGACATTCTCAAGGCCACTTCGGCGTCGCCCAAAGGTCGTCCATGAATTATAGTCTCACCGCTCAGTCGTTTCCGTCCCTAAATCCGTCCCATCGTAGGCCAATAACAAGACACAACAATACTTTAAATATATTTAACAAATGATTATAAAAATCTATAAAACAGTCATTTCGTTAAATTAAAACATAGATGTTGACTATACAAAGTGAAACATTTGGGAGATAATGCAACACAACGAATACAATCTTAATCGTAGTTTGTAGTTCTAACATGGCATGGTTCCTTCTTTCGTCGAAAGAGTGTTACCTACACCAGTAGATTAAGCATGTTTATTGGAGTTTTGGACAAATGAACACAGAGAGAAATCGGCTTTAAAGAAGATTGATTTTTATTAATTCATACCGTGGTGTATGCTAGTGATGTCGACAGATGTAAGTGGTATGTATCATCACCAACCGAAAGTGGAATGCCTGGCGGCAGAAGGTCGAATAGAAGAAAATGAGAACAGAGAGTGGTTGGTATGGAAATAAAGGGACAATAAAGTCTAAGACAATTGATGGACATCCTGCAAATGAAGTATTTACTGTATGGTTCCCAGAATTTACTAAGAAATTCTGTAATTTTGTATTCAAGTATATTCCGTTATCCCCACTTGGGTCCTCGTTTACTACAATACCATGACCATATATATATATATAATAGTGGCTTTGCTTCGCTAATCGATCAGCTCGATAACCGTTATAATATAAATCTCAACGGTGTTTAAAATCAGAAGGCAATGAGAGGCGGCAACTACAGTTTATTAGCGGATAGCGCAGATTATATAGCTATAAGCAGATCGAGCGAATTTGAAGCGGAGAGGCGAATAAGTATATACCAGCAATTAAATAAGCAAATTTTTAGTCAAGTTGCATAAGGGCTCAGCAACGCCGAGTAAAATCTAATAATATGATTTGAATACATATATATGCATGGGGAGAAGGATGAGTCATCGAGTGATATTTAACCGATCAACATTTTAGTTCGAGTCTGTCATGTGATCTGGTGATCATAATAGTATAAAGAAATATGCGGATTGTTATTGTTCAAATAACATTGTCTGTTAAGTTAATAAAAGGGCTTAACCAAAATCATAAGATCATAGAATAGTTGCTATAATATATTAGTTTTAAATATCGGCACAGTAATTAAATTTGAATGTATTGAACGGGGATTAGTTAACATCAATTAATCAATAATTCAGTTTATGTATTTAATTCACAAAATCAATTGATTAGCTGCTTTAACTAAAGCAAAACTAAATAGTTGAGTTCTATAGTTTTGCTGATTTCTAGTAATATATATGATCATTTATTTTGATGCTTTACAAACATCTCATTGATTTTGGTATTAGTTTAATTAACAGATAGGTAACTTGACAAAAAATGAAAATCTTATTAATGGTTAAAGAAACAGTTAATTCATAACGACTTATAGTGATTGTGACTTAATGATAATAATGGGGCAATCCACACAAGATGCACATATACCAATGCAGTCCTAAATATCAATGTGAAGATCCAAACAATCAGTAAAAGATGTATTAAACTTCACCTGATTGCACAAGGTGGTGGCTTTCTAAATTCAGTAATTAAGTAGATAACATGGTGGTTTATAATGAATGGCACTGAGTACAAGCTCCAGAGTAAACATCAAATCTGGGATCAAAGTATATCCGACTGATGAGTCCTCAATAGGATGAGACTCACTTCCTTAATTTCTCTGTTAGAACCATCTATCTCTTCTCATAAGAGTTGATATTCTTTCTTCTATAGTTCATGGTTAATTAGTATTCTTTTTTGAGATTTTCTAATGCTTGGAATTAAGTTCCATCTAATTTCTTTTGTTAGCTTAACACGAAACTGAAACAAAAAGTGAAAACCTTTCTAGCTTAATATTTGTTATTATTATTATTATTATTATTATTATTATTATTATTATTATTATTTCTTGATCGATCCTGATGATGAATATTAAGTCATCGCAAGTTACATATTAGTAGTTCAGGAATCGACATTTGAATAATGTTCATTCTTTTCAATGCATATTGCCATTCACCATGATCTCTCTGACTGTACAATTTTGTAACTTGTTAGGTGATAGGTCGCGAACTTCTCATAAATGCACCTGAATAGGTTATGCGATCATTAGACGTAAAGATGTTTTAAAGCAAAAAAAGAAATGACTTGTTGAAATATTTAGATGGCAGGAACAGGTAGCCCAGATATTCAAGCAGGCCACCAAAGTCAAACAAGTGATCTTGCGCTTTCATTTATACATTCATTAACTACTGAAATTCTGGTAAACTTCACAGATAACGGCCAAACTGAATGTTAAGAATGACCTATTCTATTTCATTGTGATTATTGACCCAAATCGCCTTGATTGGTTTAACATTTTCGTATAAATATTCATGTATATTAGAGTAAAGCCTGATGACGATCTGATTGAAAACAATTGTTCGCTTATATGTGTTGTTCTAATTTTCACAATGGGAATCTTTAATATCCGAAAACAAATAAAGCAAGTCGAACAGTTTTGATTGTAAAAAATATCATATATTGACGAGTCCTAATAAGCGATTCAATGATCGCTTTGAGGATATTTGTGTCTATATTGAATTAATTCATATTGATAAAAGCAATATTGAAAAAGTAATAGATTTATTTCAAATTACGGTTTAATCTGTAAAGCAATGATGAAAATTCAGGAGATTTCTTCTAATGAAAGTCATTCCTTTAGGACTACAAGAATTATATTCACTAAAAGTTGGAAAAATATGTCGCCCAAATTTTTGAGAGAAAAACTTATTCACTAACTACCGGATGTCAACTGGCGCAATTATTCCTAACCAGTTGTCCTATGCATTTTGTATAAGGAAAAGATTTGTTACCAGAAAATCTATAAGGTTCAAAGAGTAAGCAGTTAGGATTAGTAAAATAAAGATTGTTGTTCGGTATTCCACCTCAAAGAAGCATATCTGGTAACAAATTGTCCTACTGACGTTTCGTAACTGAGTATAAGCCACTTCTTCAGAGTAAATACATAACCCAATACCCAATTCATTTGAAACTATTAAGTTCAACCTTGGCACTAATACCCACAAACACAGCTGGTGTTTACAATTTTTTCCGGTAAAAAGACGGTTGTTAATAACTTGTATGGATAGCACAGTTAATGTATGTCAATGGTTTGGTGCAAGTGCTAGTGTCTAGAGAGAAATTGTGACCACGTAATAGATTATAAAGAATCTCATCAGAAAACTGTGTAACAGCTGCTGTATCAATGAAAAATGTGATATAGTAGGGACCAAAAGATGAATAAGTTGGGGTCTTCATGAAGAATGTTTCTCAGCGAGATGTTAGTTTTTTTTATCTCAAAATACGGAATAAACCCATTCAGACAAAAAAGATAGGTTCATTGAAGAGTTATCTTTTTGAAGAATTCTTTTCCAAAGCTGTATGACCTCAAAAATAAATGCTTATTTTTTAAGATAATGATAGCGATAATAAAAGGTTTTCCACACATGACAAGACTGAGGTGAAATAAATAAAGGCATGAAGATGTTTTTTTTCTATTAATGAAAATAATAATATTGCTATTGTTGAAAACTTGTATATGCATCATGAAGATAACAAAAAATCTTATTTGGAAGGAGAAGGCTCAGGGCGATAAGATAAAACGTTGAAATTGAGATGGATCGCAGTCAGGAGCATCATAGAAACAAGTAAGTTGGG